AAAGGGCTCTAATAGTCGTGGTACCACCGAAAACAAGGCAAACACAGCTTTGGTTTTTCAATACAGCGGGGGCAGTAGAACAACGCTTCATCCCAGCATCGAACGCAGTTGTACTTCTTGAAAGTGTGCTGGATCTTATGCTTCATCTGAGGGACTTGCTTGGGAAAATGGATGGAAAATGGAGGGCAATAGTGCGTCTTCTTCTCTTCGATGTCCTCCCATTCGGACGAGTTGTCTCTGAAAAATGAAATTAAATGGTTAAAATTGGATGGAAACAAAAAATTAAGGGAAAATTAGAGTAAATACATAGGGACGGTAATTTATTTTTGTGGTGTCAAGGAAAAAGGATGCGAATTAAAAAGTTTTTTGACTCATCTCCTTTTTCCTTGAAACCACTACTACAGATATTGATGACTGACTTATAATAAATGAAACTAAATAAATAACAGATACATTAAAATAAGATACCTACATAAATAAGAATCGTACCCCTTTATTAATAAAAAAGTTACTAGGTAGTTGAACTCTGGCTTAAATTGTCATTTAGTATGGAAATGTCATTTTAATTTAGAGTTCATCCTAGGTGTAACATTTTATTAATAAGGGGGATAGAGTTCTAGCAAGTTTGTTAAAATAAATAAATAAAATTGTTATTAAAACCAAATTATATGAAAAACATTGAGATAAATCGAATGGTTATTAAACCGGGTTTCTAAAAATCAATCCAAATCCGTCCTTCAACTGTCAAACTTCAATTTGTTTTCGGTCCATTACAGGGTGATTTTGTTATCAGTATCCAAATTTTTAGGAGCGACTCAGAATCAGTAACTTAATCGATTTACGTAAAGATAACTTTTTTTTTTCTTATTTAATTATTTTTATCCGCTAAGCGGTTTCAAAATTGTCTCACGTGGTTAATTTGCTTCGTTCATAGAAAAATACGTACACACAGTTTACTACAAAGCTTAATAGACATAATGGTACGCGAAAAAAAAACCTTAACCTTTAAAAATTACGATGGGCACCCGCGAATTAAAATAATAATTTTCGCGAAAAATACCGCGGTTAAGAATAATTAAGATATAGTTGTATTTTTAAATTGTTCTATAGAGCTTATTAAAAAAATGGATACTGATAAAAAAATCACCCCACAATTTAATATTATTTAAAAACCGTAGATATTTTGACCAAAAATTTTGGATTAGGATTGATTACAGAAATCCGGAGTTGTTGTAGAAATAAATAAAAGAATACTTACAAATCAGAAGAGCTTTCACGTTTCACGTCAATGTTGTTTGCAGACATCTTTACGCAGCGCCACACAAAACAACTCACAGAACTGGTCGAGACAAAATTCAAGACTGGAATGCCGTGTGTCAGGCAGAAGCTATTGTTAGTTTCTCATCCCCACCACTCATCAACACACCTGGTATTATTCGGCACCCTTTTGTGTATGTCTTATCTTTCACGTTCCATTCTTTTAGTTGTCTTTGTTAAGTTCCAGGTAAAAAAAGACCTAAAGCAAAGGTCAGATGTTCCTTTTGTTCGATTTAACTTTTACATTTGAAGAATTTGAACCCTGTTTTAAACTTGTTGTTTCAATTCAGTCCTTTGTCTCTACCTATTTCTAAAGATTCCGCCGATAGCATAAAAAAACAACCATAATGAAAATGAAAATTATTTATTTGCAGAATGTGGTACATTACATGTTACATAATAAGATAGAACAGAACACATTAACCAGATTTGAACTAGAATGCAAATGTTTTATATATCGGATTTTGACCGTCGGTGTTATTTTTAAAAGGGGCAGAACCGGTGACACTATGGCCATCGGTTCTGCTATTTTGTTGGCTCATGAGAAATACAAAAGAAATGCAAAGAAAACTAATTTAGCAATAATTTTATTTTAGGCATTATCAAAATTACAAGAACAAAAAGAACTAATTTTCAGTAAAAAATATTATTAATTAATTTACAGAAATGTAGGTAATTAATAATTTAATTAATATTCCGATCGACAGAGGAGCAGAGCTTTCGCTTAACAACCATTCGGTTCGAAAATCCGGAGCGAAGTGAGCGAGTTGCTCCGCTGTCGCTCGGTAGTACGCAGCGCCCCNAAAACTAATTTAGCAATAATTTTATTTTAGGCATTATCAAAATTACAAGAACAAAAAGAACTAATTTTCAGTAAAAAATATTATTAATTAATTTACAGAAATGCAGGTACTTAATAATTTAAATAATATACCGACCGACAGAGGAGCAGAGCTTTCGCTTAACAACCGTTCCGTTCGAGAATCCGGAGCGAAGTGAGCGAGTTGCTCCGCTGTCGCTCGTTAGTACGCAGCGCCCCCACTCAACCTCCCACCTCTCGGTGCGGCCGGCCAATGGCGTTGCGCACGCAGTCAATTGAGTTACTTATAAAGTTTTAAAATGAATTAATAAATAACCGGTTATTTTTGTTGGCATGCGTAACTATTTTTAATAATTTTGTTAATTTTAAAAGCTTTAGAAAATGAATAATCGAATTGTTTTTTAAAATCAGCAGCTTGCNCAATAAATACATTTTTAAATAGTAATGTTGTTTCACTTCCTTGATTCCCGAAATTTTCAGTGCCGCCCTCGTACAGCACCTGTCGTATGATAAAAACGGGTATAGGAGACTTTACATACTTATTTTAAAAGGTAAAGACCTACATTTTTGAAATCTCTTTATGGAGTATGGACCCTTTTATGGTCACACATTTTTTAGTAATAGAATGGTGTTCAAAAGAAAATAAGGTTTGAATTCATCAGAAATAAGTTTCATTTTACAGGATAAAAAATATTAGAAAATTTCAACAGCATTACTAATTTAATGTTTTTGATAGATTAGGGTAAGAGTCACCTGGACACCAGAAGGTCATGGTCATCGTTCAAGCCCTACATTAGGACATTTTTTTTTCTAAGTACCTTAATAACATTTTTAAGGAAGAAATTCTTCCATCTTCCAAGAATTGGTGCTTAGTGCCTAATTATGACTGTAGCTATTTCACATCCTAGTTTATCCAACTTATTATTACACTTAAATGTGAATTAAAGTTTTAACATTTGCTTTGCTAGAACTTTAAGGCGGGGTGGTACTATCTTACTTTTACTTCAAGAAAGTCAAAACTCTGTCAAACTTCATATAAAAACACGGGTTAAAATTATAGTTAGTCACCATTAAAGTTAAGGTGGTGCAACTGAGGCTAACATCCGTATTCACTATTCACAAACGGTATTTGCATGAGTGAAGCAGCAAACCTAATGCACAGTGTTGAATAAAGCTCTGTGATAGGTTCATGTGTCACCCTGTGCGTCCATGCGCACTATGAGACCTCATAGTAATGTTTGTGAATACGTGAGACTCCAAATGCTCAAGACAGATAAAATAGCTATCCAGTGACAAAAGACAACCCTAAAGATAACGGAAGTAATTACAAAGCCAATTAGAATGTGAGTGGAATTTGATATTCATTCAACGGAGGCAGTCTAGATTAGATAAACTAATTATGTTACTTTAAGTTGGAGAGTTGTGAATAAATCATAGGTAAAGTTTATTTTACTTAACAGAATTTTCGATTTAGAGTTACATAAAATCTGTTAAAAAAATATTAATTAAATCTAAATACAACTAAAGCCACTAGTTAAAATGTAATTTAACGAAACATCGGTTGGTAAGCTGAGTAGTTTGAACCGGTAGCAAGATAAAGTTCATGTAAACTTGAAAAATGTAAATAGAAAAAGTTTTAAAACAAGAGCATATTCTTCACAGCCAGGTATTCAGGTGAAGGTAACAACTCTAATTTCTAGTAACCCTCACCTACTAACACACAAAATATTGAGTCACTTTCTTTGCCAATCATCAAGATCTTTTAGCTATTTTAAGAATAGGAAATAGCGCGTCTGCTATTTCTTCAAAAACTTCGATTCGCGCCAAAATATCTACGAAAAGGAGGTCCCACACCCCGAAGTGCCTACGCAATCGCATCGGAATGCACCAGAATGCACACATGATGGTACGAACCTTTTTATTTTGACTTTTTCTTTTTAAAAATAAGCCCTACGTAACAGGCATTTCCGGGAACGATTCGGGTTAGTAGCCACATCCAACACAACTCTCGGTTAGTCAGTACTTAACAAAGCTCTAAATAACTATAACTTTCATTCAAAACTTACAATTATCTTGTAATCACTACATAAAAATAAATATTTTGATAAAAACAACACACACGTTCACTGTCTACACTACTTCACTGCGAAATGTCAAACTTTTTCTGAACCGGTGTTGCCGCATTTCAATTATATTTTCCCCGATTTGACTTCAACTTTTTAAATCGAACGCAATTTTTCTATACCATTACCCATTGCAATTCTTTTGAAATATAATGTTATGTAATTGTTTAGGATTATTTTTGCGTCCACATGTGTCACAATTATACTTTTCTTACAAACTTTCTGAGAAATTGTACTGGTGTTGCTAGTAAAAATGATAAACGTACCCGAATAGTAATTTCTCACGAAATTCTTTGCCAGCTGAGAGGTTCACGTTACCTACCTTTTCTAATTATTATTAGCGGTGACTAAAAATAGGTCAAATATTTAAAAATGCCTGTTGGCACGTATTGCGGTCCGCAGCGGTCGCAATCACATTCGCGGAGTGTTGAGTGGGAATCGATGCACTGTTTATTTAGAATTTCAACACTTTTAGAGCTCACGCAGCGCAGCAGGACTATTCGCGTCGGGTTAAGAAATTAGGATTTGCATTGTGTGTGCAATATTCTTTGTTGCAGTCTAAATAGATTAAAATAGAAGTTAAGGTACACATTACACAATTTTATTGTGAATTTTTTGGTAAGTTAAACGGATAATATTACCTATTTGTTTTAATATAATATCCTTCAACAAGGGTTAAAATGAAATAGCAAATGAACAGTAAACATTTTTATTGTAAATATTTTTATTGTATCCTTTACACTCGCGATGCACTCGATGGCTTTTCAAAGCTTTCGTTGAAATTCGCCATGGCGGAGGAGTTACAAGTTAAGGTTTAGAGTTGTTGAGATAGGTAAGTAGCTACCTGCCTAATTGGAAGGGAAAGAATATAGGTAAGTACTCCGGTTACTGGTCAACCAAGCTATTTTATCGTATAGTCTAAATGTTTGTTAGCAGAAAATGGTGACAAGAAACCATGAGTTAGTTTGTTAACAGACTTCAAAAAGGAGGAGGTTATTGAATATGTTTTAGGCACACGCGATATTAATTAAATCTGCCATAGCGAGTTTCTACAATCGTTTGCAAAATTATACAAGCAACTCTACACGATACATCTTCAGTCGGCTCGTATTATTATGCACTTAGATACTATGCAACTGACTTTATCATCCAATTGAGCTCGATACCCAACCAAAGTATTAGTGATAAAGGTGAAATATTAATTAGAATGTCCGGTATATACGATTACAAAATGGTTAATAAGAAAAGGTACATTTATTATTAATATTTAATTCACTTAATGTGTAATAAGTAAGTAATTTCTAAGAAAAAATTTTTTTCTTCGATCATTCTACTTCTACCTCAGTAATATCACAACATTGTGATAATTTGGGACCATTTAGGAAGGTACTTTAAAAAAGTTAGGTAGATACTTATTCATAAAAATAATAATGAACAAAATAGGTTGGGTGATAAGCAAATAGTTTGATTTTGTAATCGTGCATACCGATGAAATAAGTGCCAGAATAAAGTATTTTGCAACATCAATAATTTAAAAACTCAACAGGATAGAAGTCTCAAATGATTCACGTATCGTGATAAACAAAGTTTATGCTTAAAAACAGCGATTACATGACATCTAATCAACTATTATTAAGTGAGCACTACTTATTTCTTTTACATCTGTGCCAAGTTGTTACTGTCCTACATAAGTTATTTCATACAGTCATGCATGCTAGATACGGGAAAATTTAACTTTTTGCCATAAGAAAGAAGCAGTATTGGAAATTAATTATAATGATGGTATACTTTAACATAATTATATTACATAATAAGTATTACAACTCATAAAGGTAACTCATTATAGGTAGTAGGTAAAGCATAGACAGAATTACCCTTGATCTTGCATGGTATATTTTATGTGGACAATCTGGATATCAAACAACATTAAATTCCTATTTTAAAGGAAGGGAAAGTAGTTGTAAGACTTTCTGCTTCTTTACTTTTAATTGGTTTAATTTATAATTATTAGATTCTTTCATTATAGCAGCTAGTTATTTATTCACGATTGTTATAATTCCCTTAACGTTCTTTTTAATGAATGGTATATTATTATTGTAGAAAATAATTATTATTGTTTATTGAAAGATAAATAAAATAAACAAAAGCTCTGGAGTGGAAAATAACATCTCTTAAGGTTAAGTATAGTATGAAACTGTATTAGACGATGTTCACCCTTATTTATAAACCGTTTTTTTATGTTATTACTCGTATTGAAAAGATATTTAATACTTTTTTACGTGGAAAATAATGGTTTTTTGAAAAACCATTCGTTATTCTGTAAGAGCAAGCACCGTCATTAAAATTATAAGTAACGTGTGTAAAAATATTTGTCTTGTTATCAATTAATATAATGTTCATTCATCCAATTAATATAATGTTCATTTAACAAACTCTTATAATTCTGTATCTATTTCTTAAGCCGTTTCTCACAAGACAATTTAAGGCGACTCAGCATAGCGACTAAACGCTATTTAAATTTTCAAAGTTTTATCTAAGAACTTTAAATTTTCTAGTTCAAAAATTTGTAAGGTGTTTAGCGTAGAAGAATATTATTTTGTTAACAAATATAACTATAATAGTATTTTTTTAATAAATAGTTATGTATTATTTTGACGACTAGTCAAGGTAAAACGTTACTAGATCGTTATTAGAATCTACAGAGCATTAAAATATAATAGAGAATAATTACTACAGCAAAAGTGGCTAGTAAAACGTGCATTTTTATAAAAACTACCCTCAAAATGGGGAAATCATTCTTTACTGGCAACACTTGTGTTCGAAAAATAATTTGCAAAATCTCGCGCCATTATTATTTTTATAAAAATGCACATGAAAAAGTTAGTTTCAAGTTTTAACATCAACCGATATTTAAAAAGAGGATTGTAGGATATTTAGAAAAATACTGCTTCTGAATAGAAAGAGATGAATTAAAAATTTCGTAACATTTTTCTGTAAAAACTATGTGCTATTATGGCTATGTTATGTCACACGTTAATGTGGAAATGGGTGAGAAACTGTGAAATAATGAAGTAACACTGAATGTTATTGTTAACACACAAGAAACATTGATTAAACATCTATAAAATATTTGATTCTAACAGCAGGTAGTTAGTAAGTAGGTATTTAAAAGTTTTATCAACGAAAATTCGGCAACTAATTTCAAAAGGATCGCTTTCTCCCTTTAAAAACACTCCCAAATCGCTCGAATTACCCAATATTTTATAATATTTATAATTTTGTAAATAACATAAATAATATACCGTAATTTATTAACACACAACGTAATTTTTGCCAAAGCGATATGTTTTATTATTGTAGCATTGTGTTTATGTATGCATTCGTAGTATATAATTTTTATAATATTCAATTTTGTGATATCAAATACTACTCTTAACACCTATTACAATGTTATTTTGATCCAATAATAAACGAATGATGATCCTAACTGTACATAAAGCTTTTATAAAATAAAATCTACACCTCGTTTTACACTAATCATACTAAGCTATGCGAACTGGCCACTTATATTTAAATTAGCGCGTAAGACGCCATTTTTCGATTAACTATTTCCAAAATGGCTGACATTCTAGAATGTAATCGATTGCAAAAAAGAAAAATTTTGAAACGTCATCACAGAACAGTTGATTGCTTTTTGTCGATGCTTCGATGTTTGAATCGGTGTATTGACAAAAAGCAGCTGGAATTCTCTATCTCAGTACATCGATATAGGCAAAGAAAGGAATTTTAACGTAAACGAATGTGCTAGGGCTTTTAATATGCTAAAACCAAGAAGACGCCCCGCCGATTTTTGATGACAGTTCTCCGATGCCGCGGCCAAAGAGACCGCCAACCTGTGAATAAAACATGAATGAGCAAAAGTAAATCTATGTACAAAAAATGCGACCAAGCTAGTAGGATAACCTGTGTAAGTAGTAGGATGATAAAAGAATTACAAAAATCAGATGTAAAATACCTTTCCAACGACTGCAGTCACGTTGCCTAACTTGGCTTCATCTGTGAGCGCCTCCAGCTTCGACTTGCCGCTCCTGGAGCCTTCTTCGGAGCCGTCGTCACCACCACTGAAGCAAAAAACACTTGTCAAATATCCACAAGAGTAACTTTGCTATTAAATAAAGCTAGGCGTTCGAGCTACAAGTACAGTGCGATACCTCTGGGCTCAAAGGTCGTAAAGGACAAAATACCGAAAATGAGTTATTTATACAGTTTTACTCAGAATTTAATTCTCTATCGATCTGTATATTTAGTTTGCCGAAATTCCCATAAAAAGTGCCTTTACGACCCATCATATTTGATAAGCTAAACAGAATTCGTCGTGAAAATTGGGATGTAAATACCATTTGATTTTTTAGTACAGTTACCATGGTAGTAAAGAACAAGTAAACACAAATTTTTTGGCGTATAATGTACATGTAGTATATCTATTGTCCTATACAACCTTACATTTTCATACCCAAGTCTAAATAATTTGTCCTTTACGCCCTTAGATTATCTAAACAAATATTTTAAAAATCTACACAATTAGGATATTAAAATAACTGTGAGGGTAAATTTTATAGACGTTTCTTATAGTATTTAAGTATGTGCGTTTGGAACAAATGAAAGAACCTAAAAAATCATCAAAAATATATAATAAAACTATTTTAGAGTGTAACATTTATGTGATTTGTACATATAAAATGATAACATCTACCCACATCGGGTAAAGTAATGTTGCTTTTTATTATTTCTCATATTTGAAGAAACTAGGTATTTGTCAGGTATAAAACAATTATTAAAAGATGATTTAAGAAAATAAAAACATGCTATAAAATAACGTATTACCTAATTAAGTTAGGATAGTCATCATAAAAATTGAAAAAATAAAAAAGCTAGATTTGTTAAAAATATTATGAAAAAAAAGTCACCTTACTGTAGTACCTTAGGTGTCATTATTTTGTATGCACAAATCACACAAATACTACACTTTACAATTATTTTTAATGATTTCCTAGTAATTTTGACTAACGCCCTTGGTCAAAACCACTTTTGAGTTTTGACTGTTACAATTATAATAAATTAGTATAGTTTCTAAAGTTATTTGGATCAGCTAATAAATAATAACTAGTAGGAAAAATATTTACATAACATGGGAAAATATAATGTTGAGACTTAATCTACTAAAAAGCGTGAATGCAGTTTTTTTTTCAAAGTTATATTTTTATATTAAAAATAATTCGCTTTTAAAAACGGTATTATGTAGGAGTAAAGTAAGTGGATGTACTTTATTGGAATGAAAATCTTCCTACTTGTAATCTTAATTACCTACCTAACTTTTCTACTTTTATACCAAGTACAATGACATAATTTTAAGCTACTATGAATTAATAATGTTTAATTTATTTAGAATTTAGAATAATAATTATTCAAAATTCTTATTAAATAATATAATAAATCATTAATATAGTTTGGTTTTCGTTTGTCCTTAATAATTTGCATTATCATCAATCAGGTCAACTGGTAGACAGACTGCCCTATGGAATTAAATCCGCTATTTGTAGTTTTTCGAAACAATAATAATGATTAAACAAATAAATAAAATTAAATTGGTTTTCTGTTTTTCCTATAAAGTAGACATTTATGAAGTTTTATTTAAAAGCATCATAATATTTATTTTCTTAATTAGCTTTTATATCGGAAATAGTTTCTTCTAGTTCAAAGATATCAAAACTTCTACTTAAATAGTTTCATAAATTGTATGCATTAAATTATGAAGCTACGGAAAATCATTTTATTTCATTTAAAAGACCATAATTCATTAAAAATATGTGAAGAAATGGTATATTACATATGAAATACCATAAAATATTAAATATTTAAGCTAAATCATCAATTTACCCTTTCATAATACCTTACCCGGGTGTCCCGTTACGACCCATGAAAACCTACAAAACTATGTAAATTGTCATTTATTACCTTAGTTTTGTAGTTTTGTGAAATAAAAACAGACTTACGCCCTGAGTAACTTGCCTAGGACGAATATTTGAGGGGTGTAAAGGTCTTTTTATTGTAATTTTGAGGGCGTAAAGGAAATCTATCTCAGTAAATACAGCTCTAGTTCAGTTTTTCAATACCTCTTCGGAAAATGCTGTGAATTCTAAGCACTTTCTTCATAAGTCATAATTTAATAGCTCAAAAAACAAAAAAGTTATCGTCGATTAAAAAAATAAAAAAACGTTTTTTGCTTCTCCTGAAAAGTCGTACTTTGTCCTTTACGACCTTTGAGCCCAGAGGTATCGATATCGGATTTTGACCGTCGGTGTTATTTTTAAAAGGGGCAGAACCGGTGACACTATGGCCATCGGTTCTGCTATTTTGTTGGCTCATGAGAAATACAAAGAAAAACTAATTTAGCAATGATTTTATTTTAGGCATTATCAATATTACAAGAACAAAAAAAGAACTAATTTTCAGTAAAAATTATTATTAATTAATTTACAGAAATGCAGGTAATTAATAATTTAATTAATATTCCGATCGACAGAGGAGCAGAGCTTTCGCTTAACAACCGTTCGGTTCGAAAATCCGGAGCGAAGTGAGCGAGTTGCTCCGCTGTCGCTCGGTAGTACCCAGCGCCCCCACTCAACCTCCCACCTCTCGGTGCGGCCGGCCAATGGCGTTGCGCACGCAGTCAATTGAGTTACTTATAAAGTTTTAAAATGAATTAATAAATAACCGGTTATTTTTGTTGGCATGCGTAACTATTTTTAATAATTTTGTTAATTTTAAAAGCTTTAGAAAATGAATAATCGAATTGTTTTTTAAAATCAACAGCTTGCTTTTGCAGTACAATCAAATTGAGTTACTTATTAATTTGCAAAAGCAAGTAATAAATAACTGGTTATTTATGTCTACACATTTAATTATTCTAAAACATTTTGGAAAGCTTTAAAAGCCAGTAATAAAATGAATCGACTTACTTGTCTGAATGTTATCCATTTATGAAACGTGCACTAATAAACAAATTTAAATTGACACTAAAAATACAAAGTAATTACCAACGCAATTACACGATTATTATTAGCGATGGAAAAATGTGTTTACAATTAATAATTTGTGTTACGTAACTATAACTTAAATACTTTTGCGGCGACACGGCCATTCTGATGTGCGGTGCGTGCTCTGCAGCGCTTCACTCGGGTTGGATGTAGGGGTTTACTGAAAAAGAGAAAAACACACTTTGAGGCTGGTACTTCCACAGTAACCAGAGCCGTATATTTTTAACTGACTGAATGATAGTTTACTGCTCATTCCACATGACAACAGTATCGTTTTACTTTATTACTATTGTACGGCTCCACACGACAATAGTGTTTTAGGGATTGATTTTACTATTGTACGGCTCCACACGACAATAGTGTTTAAGGGATTGATTTTACTATTGTACGGCTCCACACGACAATCCCAACTAATATTATAAATGCGAAAGTAACTCTGTCTGTCTGTCTGTCTGTTACGCTTTCCCGCTTAAACCTCGCAACCGATTTCGATGAAATTTGGCAGGGACATAGTTTGAGTCCCGGGAATGGACATAGGATAGTTTTTATCTCGGTTTTTGAAACAGGGACGCGCGCGATAAATTTTTTCTGTGACAGACAAAATTCCACGCGGGCGAAGCCGCGGGCAGAAAGCTAGTAGTGATTATAGATTGAGTATAGAAAAGCTTAGTTATTTGACAACTCCACGTGTCAACAACTAATATAGCAAACATGGTTAGTGAAATGAAAGGTTCTCACCGAGTCCAGGTTCGAGGTATCCTCTGCGACGTCGTCTATGTTGAGAACGTCACGTGATTGAGGCGGAGATGCTGATGTTGCTGTGACACCAGATGGGCCAGGTTGCTGGTGATCTGGCGCCACGGACGCTGATGTTGATATGACACCAGACGGACCCGGTTGCTGGTGATCTGGCGACACGGCCACTTGATCCGCACCACCACCAGGTTGAGGAGCTCGCCGTAGCTGATCATGTGCCACCTTACGTGGCCGTCCGTGGTGACCGATGACCTTCTTCACAAGGTAGCGATCATTTTCGAGAACTCTGAAAATTTCGTAAGGTACGCTGAATTTAAGGTCTAAAGAGGTCTGGTTTCTGGGATTTTTTTTTATTAAAACAAAATCTCCTCGTTGAAAGTTGTAAATTCGAGCCCGTCCTCTATCAAATCTTTGTTTATCTTTGGCAGATGCATCGACCATCCTTTGTTGGACATGTCGTTGCAATGCATCAATATCAATGGAAGTGTTTTCGAAGTTCACTAAATTTAGGAGCTCAGGTGGTACGCAGTTTTGGCGTCGGGTGAGGAGTGTTAGCGGGGCGACACCGGTTGTTCTATGGACAGTACAGTTAAAAGCCAATTGCAAACTTTCTAGTGCTGTGTGCCAATCCGGGGTCTCGTAGTTTTTTATCATAATAAGGCCGTTCTTCAGGGTTGCCATCACCCGCTCGACCTGTCCATTTGCTCTACTAACTCCTGGTGCAATTGCATGAATTTCAATGCCAAACCTGTTACAGTAGTTTTTGTATTCGCCAAGAAATTCACGCCCTCCATCTACGACGATTTGCCTTGGTGCACCAAAAAGGTGGACAACTTGTTTCAGCGCTCCAAGAGTACTGTGCTGGCTTTTATCATTAGTATATCGTAACAATACGTACTTGGTGAAGGCGTCTATGGTTACCACGACATACTCCTGCTCTTCGGTTGTACTAAGTTTTCCGGTGATGTCCATGTGGATTACTTCAAAGGGCACTGTTGGCTTGGTGATAGGATGCAATTGTACCTGTGTTGCTCCTGAGGTCTGCTTTGAGGTACGGCATACTACACAGTTGGCTATAAAATCGCGGACAATGGAGTTCATTTTTATCGAAATGGTAAGTCTCTCTTATTTTATGGAGAGTTTTCTCCCACCCTTGATGCTTAACAGCGGTATGGTAGGTATTTATAGGCTCCATTGGAATGACCTTGGTACGACCGCCAATTTCGTTACGCCCACGATCGGATCTACTCTTTCGTATTTGAGAACGTT